GCTTCAATCAGTGGAATGTTTATCTGGATTTGTTTGAGCATCTCTAGGAACTTTTTATACTGCTCCTCCTTTTGATGCTTGGCCAACCTTTGCGGGAATGGTGCAGGAGGTCTTTTCTTCCCAATCACTTGGGATTTCTCCTTCTCAGCTACTGTCTCAACCATTGGTTCCGCTACTGTCTCAATTACTAGCTCAACTACTGTCTCAGTCTCGTGCTGCATATTCTTTTCTTCAGGAGCAGGCTGAACTGTTACCTCTATCAATCCCGTAGAATCATCCAGCTCAATGGGCACTGGAATTAGTGTCTCAGCTTGTATGTTTTCTCGAGCTCTCTCTTGCTCAATATCTAAGTCCCTGCCATTCCGTAGACTCACCGCCATCAGCTGCTTTGGGCCCTGATCTTTTGGGTTGATTTGGGTATCTGTAGGTGATGTCCCTTGAGGACGATTGTTAAGTGACATTGAAATCTGGCCTACTTGTACCTCAATATTCTTGATAGCTGCATCATGTGCATCCACCCTTTCATTTATTTTAGCATTGGATCCAATAACCTGCTGCATCATTGCTTCAAGCCTTGCAAACCCGTCTTCCTGTCTTCCACCCTGCTGTTGCTGAGGTGGGTGGTACCCTTGCTGCTGATTGTTGTACCCTTGAGGTCTAGGATATGGTGCCATATTGTTGGGGGGTCTCATGCCTCCCATATTTTCGGCGTTATACTGTGGCTGCGGTGGCCTGTACTGCTGCTGAGTCTGCTGACCCCAATTCTGATTACCTTGCCTCTGACCCCCATAGTAGCCACATAGTTCATATCTTCAGGGTACTGGTGATGATGATCATGCTCTGTATTCCATGGATTACCAATTGGCTGGCTAATGCAAGATGTGCACAAGCCCCCGTTGGTAGTGTCTACTATGTGAACCTGTTGCTTCTGCCCTGATTCCTCCACCTTTTTGGTGAGGATGCTCATTTGCGTCAAAAGAGTCGCCATGTTTTCAGCCATTGTATTAGAAGGATCAAGAGGCACTGAGTGCACCACTGGAGTGATAGGTGCATTCCTAGATGTCCAACCCGAATTCTGTGCCATCTTGTCGAGCAAATTCTGACCTTCTCTCCAAGTCTTGCTCGAGAATGCCCCACCAGCCGAGGCATCAACTATATTCTTCAAGCTGTCTGACAATCCCATGTAAAACCGTTGTCCCAACATCTGCTCTGGAACACCATGGTGGGGACACATAACCAACATTCCTTTAAACCTGCCCCATGTCTCGTGTAGTGTCTCCATTGGTTTCTGTTTGAAGCTCACAATCTCATCAATTTGTTGAGCGGTCTTGTTGGGAGGATGGAACTTGTTGTGAAATTGCTTGACCAACTCATCCCACGTTGCTATAGAGTTTATGGGAAGCGAGTTTAGCCAAACCTGAGCAGCTCCTGTCACCGAGAATGGAAACAATAATAATCTGATTGCTTCCGGAGTCACGTTCGGTTGCCTTTGAGTTTTGCAAATAGACAGGAAGTTCTTTAAGTGTTGCTGAGGGTCTTCTATTTGTGTCCCAGAGAAAAGGCCCTTGTTCTGCAACAAGTGTAGCATGTTATTTGTGATCTGGAACGATTCAGCTTGTATTGCAGGCACAATAATGGCAGTGGCTAGATTGTCAGTTGTGGGTTGTGCCCAGTCATAAAGTGCACCCTCAGGCACAGGAGGTGCCAATTGCTCATTCCTGACGTTCCCGTTGGGGTCGTTTATGTCGCCCATATCAATTTCGAGTTGGTGTATTTGTTGTGATTGTTGAAGTCTTTTGTTTGCACGATTCAATGCCCGAAATATCTTCTCGGGGTCTGAGAGTCCTTCAAGCAGTTCTCCAGTCCTCGTAGAATTTCTAGGCATGCACCTGTGCACCCAGATCAACAACCGTCAAATTTTCAATGAAAAAGTTGGTAGAGAGAAAACTGACTACAACAAGAATCTTTGTATTTCTGTCAATGGCAGTTGATAATTCCGTTAACTCCCCGGCAACGGCGCCAAAATTTGATCACGCCCAACTATGCCTTCTAAAAAAGGACTCTGCGGATGTTGCAAATATAACCCGAGTATTACGCCTAGGGTCGAGTCCACAGAGAGTTAACCTATCAACTGCTACCTTCAGACCCACTAAGTCTTCAGAACCACCTTCTCAAATATTCAGATTCTCAGTTGAGTGTTCTTTAATAACTAGCTTGCAAGTAACTAAAAGGCTATAACTAAATTAAAAGGGTTGTAAACAATTATGAGAAAAAGCTAAGGCAATGATTTCCCCTATTGATGGAATCCCTTCTGTTTATGCTCATACAAATTTACCCAACCTCTCTATCAATCATGAACACTAATCTTACCGCAAATCTCTCCCGAGTAATCACAGTAATCTACTACTGCACTCTCCCGAGATACACTAGCTTGCTTTAATTAGCACAATTCAATTTAGATTGCACCCAAGGCTTCGTCTAATCCCGCCTTTAAACCCGCAATTATAGATTCCTCTTATAATCTAGGAGTGGTGTTGTTCAACAATACCCTAAATATGCACTCTTTTCCAAGTTATGCACACTAAATAGGCACAGCTAATTGAGGATCCTGTCAATTAACTACAACGAACACGAAGTTGAACAAATAAAGATTAAATTAGCAATTTGTATTCACATAAACAAGAAGTTCATCACCCAATAGGTTCCATCAAAGCCTTAGACAAGGAATTTAGCTACTCATGACTATGGGAGAATAAACTAAGCTTGAATTCATCATAAAATCAAAAGAAAAGAAGAAAGATGTTTAGAGTACTTTCTCACAATTGTTTTCCTTGCTAAGAAACCTAAAAAATCAATACATGCCTCTCTTGGGCGAAGTCTAATGTTTTAAATAGGGTTTAGGTCTAAAAATTCCGTAATTGACACTTTGGTCCCTGAAGTTTACTGGGCCTGCCGCGGTCGCGGTAGAACCGCAGCCAAACACCCTCGCGGAATCTCCAATCTTCAGAAGCTGCTTCCCACCGCGGTTCTGCCGCAGTCGCGGTGGAACCGCGGTGGACCCAGTTCTCTGATTCTTCGGCCTGTTTTTGCACACGTCACTTGGGAAATTTCACAATTGGCTACTTTTTCATCACTTTTGACTCAAAAACTGCTCCTTAGCCTTCTTTATACATATATCACCTACAAATCATGAAAATCACTAATAAGAGCATTTTGTCATCACTTTTAGCATTAAAACTACACAAGAAGGTGATTATTTAAGGTGTGATTATAGTCAAATTCACCTATTATCAACTATGCACCGAATCACCTTGACTTGTGTATGTTACTTCTTTAAATTTTGACACCCCTTAATGAAAATCATGGCTCTGCTACTATGAGGGTGTTTGGCTAAGCTTATAAGCTGGTCAAACTAGCTTATAAGCACTTTTCGACTTATCTACGCGTTTGGTAAAGTTATAAGTGCTTATAAGTCAAAATAAGCTAAAAGCCATAAGCTGGTCACCCCCAGCTTATGAATTTTTAGCTTATAAACACTTTAAGTTTGACCAAGATTTTTACTATTTTATCCTTAAAATATTCTATTTTAGAACAAAACTCTTACATCGATACTCACTGCCTCAAGTATTGTCCCCCCGCCTCTTCAAGTCTACAATTCTCATTGACTATTTAAGATAAGCAAATTCTCTATTCCTTTTGCATATTTGTATCTATGTGATTGTGTATTAATCTTTGAACTGTGTGTAATAAATGAGGACATATCAAATTTTTGGTCCATTGCTTTCTAAGTGTTGTGGTGATGAAGACAGTGTTTGTTTCTCTTCAAATATTTATTTAGGTTTATTTTTTACTTAGAAACTATTGTCAATTTATTAATTATTAACTTATGATTATATGCTTATCATAAAATAATTTTTTTTATCATAAAAGTTTTCTTATGTAAGCACAATTGTATTTAAAATAAAATGACAAATAAAATATTTTGTATTTGAATCGATCTGGAATCTAAGACTTTAAAGAAATTATGCTCTTATAAGTGTAAACAATTCTATGGTTATTTAAGTCATTTTAACAGAAAAAGAGCTTATCAACACTTTTTTCTCAAATACTGTAGCAACTTATTATCAATTTCAGCACTTATATCCAAACACGTAACTGCTTATTTATTAAATCAGTTTCAGCACTTAAAAGTGCTTTTCAGCACCTAATGCTTATCAGGTACTTCAAAGCTAATCCAAACGGGCTCTATATATAACATTAAGCTTAGATTATCGATTTATTAATTGTCGTTGTTTTACATAAAAATACTTTCATAGGTGTAAACAATAAGTATGGATGTAATCTTTCCATTTACCTAATTGTTTCTTGAACCTTTCTAATCTAATAAAATAGCCTGAATCGTCGCAATCCCTTATACATTTATCTTTGTCTCTATAATCTAAGTATCGTATAGACTGAATATAACTATAGTAAGAGTCTACGAGAACTTGTAACCTACTATCCCAAACTTTTCTCCTTTTTTTGTATAATTCCGGCAGATTAATCTCTCCTAGTAGTATGCACATCTCATATTAGCCTGTTTGGCCAAGCTTCCAAAATCAACTTATTTTGAGAAGTACTTTTTACAGAAACGCTTTTCAAAAAAGTACTCTTTGTGAGAAACAGTTTGTGTTTGGCTAATTAATTTGAAAAGTACTTTTGAGTAGAAATTAGTATTTGGCCAAGCTTTTAAAAAAATTTCTAAATGTATTTTTCTTAAAAGTACTTTTGGAGAGTAACTACTTTTTCTGCTTCTCGAAAACTGTTTATGCCTCAAAAGCACTACTATTTTTTTCTTTCAAAAGCTTGGTCAAAACTTTAATTTTAGGAAAAAGGCATTTTTGACCCCCCAAAAAAAAAAACTTTGCCTCAAAGAAGCTCAGCCAAACAGGCTATATACCGGCCAAACAGGCTATATACCGTGTATATCATTAAGCTACATAAATATCGTAAATATAAAATTTAAATAATAAATAAACGTACAAAATTTTCTGAAGCAGAACTATAAGTCAACGGATAAGCACCTGGAAGAAAGAGAAACAACCGTCGTCAGCTGTCGTGTCCGGCGGCATCTCCACCTGTCGCCACCGGCTGAAAAGAGCAAAAACCATCGTCATCAACCACCGCGTCAGCCGGGCACTCCATCGGTAACTAACGCTTCAGCTGCCGGAAGTAGAAAAAAAAATGTCCATTTTGCACTCGCCATCTCTCATTTTCAACACTAAACCCACCATTAAACCCTACTACCTTACTTCATTTCTTCCTTATTCTTCAATCTCGAACTTTAGATTTAGAAAATTTACAGTTCATTCATCCTTTTCATTATTTAATGATCCTCAAGATTTTTTTGTACCAAAATCTCCGGGCAGTAAACCCAAACAAAACGACAGAAATTCTGATGATAAACAAATCTCATTTGTTGACGAGTGGGGACAGAGGTCGGAACCGGATACCCGACCCGTAACGAAGTTACCAGAATCGGATCCTCCTATAAATGATGACGAATGGGGCAGAGGAGCTGAACTAGTGGGGAGCAGCAACAATCCAGTAATTGAAGATGAGTGGGGCGAGAAGTCGTATCCGGAGCCCTGTCCCGCTCCGACAGTGTCGGATTCGGATCCTCCTATAGACGAAGACGAATGGATCGGAGCTAAGCCAGTTCAAAATGAGAGCGTTTCTGATAACAAAACAGTGTCGGATCCGGAGCCCCGACCCGTAACGCGATTACCAGATTCGGATCCTCCGAAAGTTGAAGATGAGAGGGTTGCAGAGCTGAAAAGGTGCTTAATGGACACGGTTTATGGGACGGATTTTGGGCTCAGGGCCTCATCGCATATTCGGGCCGAGGCTCTGGAGCTGGTTTCTCAGTTGGAGGCAGCAAATCCAACTCCAAGCCCAGTTGAATCACCTGAATTGCTTGATGGGAACTGGATTTTAGTGTGAGTTCTTCTTTCTCATTTCTCTTTCTAAACTTTGTGTGTTTGGCTTGCGGTGTATGAAATGTGTGTGAATCAAATGGACTAACAGCGGAAAGTTTTATTTTGTGTCTCATACAACTGACACTAGTTGTGTGAGGCTCTTTTTTGTCTCACAGTTTTGTGGACCCAGAAGTGTAAGATTGGGGTCCACAAATTTGTGACACAAAAAGGAGCCTCACACAACTAATGTAAGTTGTGTGAGATACACAATAAAACTTCTCACTAACAGCTTGTTGGATGGTTGTTAACTATTGTATTGTATCGTATTGTTACTTTAAATACAATATTTGTTCTGAGTATTACTTAAATTTTATTATATCATATCGTTAAATCCATCATTATATAACGACGAAAGGTGTCAATTTATGGAACGCCGGACTTGGTGTGGTGGCATCGTTTCCTTGTTTTTTCCTATCATCTTGCCCTTCCTTATAATTAAATAATTATATTTTATCATTTACCCTATTTTTTATATACTAATTCTACTCGTATCCTATTTTTTCTTAGAAATGTTACAAGTTTATTCTTCATATTGTTAGTGCGTGACATCTTGAAACGACGTCAAACAATACAATCTATCCAAATATCGTATTCATCAAATAATACAGTACAATACAATACATTATGAAACGACAGGTAACAACAATCCAAACAAGCTCTAAGTGATTGATCATATTGTTGTCCCAACTAATTTGGGATCAAGTGGTAGTTGATTGGAATAAAAAGATTTATATAGACGATACTAATTAGTAGTTGGGAATATATTTTAGTCATGTTATGTGTTCTTGGAAACAACTTCTCTACTTGCACAAGGTAGGGGTAAGGTTTGCGTATACATTACCCTCCCTAAACCTTACATGTGAAATATAGTAGGTGTGTTGTTGTTGTTGATATGTTTTTTAGGTGCTATTTCTTCTAGGAATTGATATGTTTTTTAGGTGCTATATCTTCTAGGAATATTTTAGCCATTTTGGAGAATTTGGTAGTAGTGCAAAGTATAGAGAACTTCTAATACTCTTTTTTTTTATTCGGCATAATGTGGTTATGCATAATATTGACATGAGATGATTTAAATGGAGTAACGTGATCAATGGAGATTCATATACAACAACCCAACTTTTTTGGGGTTGAGACATAGTAGTTGTTACTACTGTTGTCTGCATAAAGTTGGCTTGAGATGAGAATTATGGTTAATAATTCATATAGTTGATCCCAACTTGTTTCGATTGAGGTATAGTTGTTGTTGTTGTTGCAAGGGATAGTTGATTGATTTGTTTATGTACTTGCGAAGCTATATGAGATTACAGCTGATAAACTGATGCCGCCGTGCATTAAGATTCTTTCGTTTTCTTCAAACTTCTTTCTTTGTTTTGGTGAAAGTAGCTCTAGTTTTGGTATTTTGAGTGAACATGCTAGCCATGTCTGTTGACCGCATAAGATTATACGATAAGACAGCTTGAATTGCGCGTTTTTTTTAACATCTAGATTCATCATGAGAGGTCACCATGTCTTGGTAATATGTTAACTGCAATTTCTCTTAATTCCCATGATAGCATATGCTCAAGTATGTTGTGTTACTGGTATTGGTTGCAAATGTAAACTTTTCTTACTGGAAAGGGTAAGAGGATTCTTATAAGTACAAACTGGATTGAGGTAGATAACCAGCGGCATACTACTGTGCACGAACTCATCCTTATGTTGCTTCCTGATGTGTCAGGTTTACGGCATTTTCTGAGCTGTTACCTCTTCTAGCTGTGGGCATCATTCCTTTGTTGAAGGTAGAAAAGATTAGCCAAGCGATTAGTACAAGCAACCTTACCATAGAGAACTCAACTACATTATCAAGCCCTTTTGCCACCTCTTCTTTCAGTGCAAATGCTGCCTTTGAAGTTCGAAGCCCGTCAAGGATACAGGTAACCTTTTGGACTGCAATGGACTGTCTTTGTAGTATCTTATTCGAAGAGAGAAACTGAGCAAGTTGCTTACTACAGACGACGACAACAACAACAACAAACCTAGTAGTTTCCCACAAGTGGGACTTACAAACAGACACATGAGAATATTTGTTGTGGTGATGTGTCTCTTTGGCAAACAAAGCATAGATTATCTTGTAAACATCCATAATTTGTAGATTATTTCCAGCTTGTGCCATTATTGACTAAAATAGTCTCTCTGTTTCAGGTTGAATTCAAAGAAGGGACAGTTAATCCTCCAGAGGTTAAGTCAAAAATAAATCTGCCAGAAAACGTTGATATCTTTGGCCAAAAAATAAGTTTGTCGCCTCTACAACAATCATTTGGTCCTATGGAAAATGCTGTGGCAGGTATAGCCCGAGCTATTTCTGGTCTGCCTCCTCTAAAAGTTCCGATTCCAGGTGAGAGGACAAAGTCTTGGCTCATTACAACATACCTAGACAAGGATCTTCGGATCTCAAGAGGAGATGGTGGGCTATTTGTTCTTGTTAAGGAAGAGAGTTCTCTTATAGACCAGTAGCAAGGTTTGATCTCTCTATAATGTATAGTGATATAGTCTCTTATAGACCAGTAGCAAGGTTTGATCTCTCTATAATGTATAGTGATATAGTCTATCGGAAACAGCCTCTACCTTGACAAGGTAAGGGGTAAGGTATGGTACACATCTCTCTATACTGTAATGATATATGGAGGTAGAGTATACAACATATTATTTGTAAAGGGAGATACATCCCACATTTTTATGTATAAGATGCCATTTGTGTAGGCATTACTCACAGAGGAAGGAACCAAAAATTGGAAATGAACAACATTTGAATCTAATATGATGTTATTTTGAAGTTCTGGTGGTATTTAGATCCAGCCATTTGTAAAACTTATGTCACTCTTCCTTCTCTTGACGTCAAATTTTTTGTTTAATTGCAAAATCATATTACTAATTGCATCTGATGAACAATAAAGAAAAATAGTGTCTTCACTAGTGTATTTTTCTTTATTGCATGTTCTATCGTCAATGCGATCCTCATTATAAGATGTGCGAAGTATTTCCTCATAAGGGGTAAACTTTCTCTCCTTGCATCATTTCCATAGTTTGGCACAAAATGACAGCAATGTTTGAACCAGCTTGCGCGCACCTTGACTATTCCAATGGATACCTGTTATTTTCTACCAGCACAATTCTGACCACCAAAGCTTAGGCAGATAAGAAGAAATCACTAGTGTTTTTTTGGCAGAGACGTGAATAATTACACCGATTGAAACAAAAGTGACCATGTTTTGTTTAATGTCTGTATAACTAAAAAACATATCTAGAGGTTATAGTGAACTCAAGAATAGAGAGACATCTATGTGATCTATGACACTGGCTGCTCAAAATGAGAAGAGTTAAAAACACAAGAGATTATCAGTAATCATGAAATTAGTATAGAACAAAAATGGATTTGACATGGCCATATCATGCCTTCTTCTTCATGGATTTGAGCATAACATATCCAATAAACACGCTCAATAAGCAGATGAGTGCCACTCCAGCATATACAGGTATGAGAATTGCATATTCTTGCGGTAGAAAATACTTGTGCACGAAATGATCGCTATCAACTAAAGGCTGAAATAGGAATAAAAGTGTATATCAGTTCCCCCACTTAATACCAAACTTGGTTCATAACGTATTTAGAAGGAAGAGATTATCGATTTACCAGAATGATGACCCAGAAGGTATAATATGTGAAAATGGACAAACTAGTCAATGTCAAAAGCAGCCCAACAGCTCTGTCCGCTAACTCCATTGAACCACTACTACTTGTGCTGTCTGTAAAAGAGAACATTTTAATAAGAACTTACATACCTAACAAGAAGAGGGTTAACGCAAAGTTTTGCCTTAGCCACAGGTTTACGCATACAAGGTTCAAGAGACTAAAAGGAACAGAGAGAAACTGAAAAAGAATGGGTGGAACACAGTCTGGAACGATGTCACATTGGTGACCAAATAGTGCTCCATTATAGGCGAACAAAAGGGACGTCTCCTCTCTTTCTCAAGAGCATAGTTTTAACAACATTCAATTATTTAAAAGACTATAAAGTTTCACTTCAACATGGGTTGAGCTTAAACCGTGTCTTTCCAGGTCCAGTGCATCACGAGGAAGAAGAAAATGAGGAAGAAAAAGGAGAAGATATGCTACTTATCCACTATATATGTTGACCTTAGCCCATGTTTTCCAACATGTGAGCATTAACCTGGCAAAATGCCTTGTGAATGATAGCATTTCTTTCATATCTACCCAATCTATCAATATGTCTTGCCAAGCAACCAAAAGCTACATGAGCAGTTCTCTCAATGTACTCCTGTTTATTAGCAATAACCTGACCCCAAAATGACAAAAACTTCACCCTGTGAAGATGTCCGTGATGATGGTGTAAACTACAACACACAGCCTCCGCCCCAGGTTATGTATTTGTCAATAAATGATTTATCAAAAGATTAAATAACATTGTCTTTATAGATTTTCATTTGACCAATTGAATATTAACAAGACTCAGCATAACTTACAGGACACGTCAATCTGGTCAGACCAAAACATTCAGGATCTTCCAACTATAAATACAGAGTGAAGCCTCCATCTATATAAATCCTCAAAAGATATTAAAAATTTGTAAGTTTATTAGATATTATTAATAGCAGGTCTGATAGAAAAAAAATTCCGAAATCACGAGTCCGAGAACAATTTCTAATATTACCCGCTTCATTTACTGATAAAGAAAAAGGTTGCAACACAATAATGAAAGAAATAAATAAATAAAAATTACAGTAGGTATATTTATCTCCATGCATGAAAAGAGTATGGCGGTCTAATCGTAAGGCTGCTATATCTTAATATCTGGAAAATATTAAGTAGATGTTAGTAGCCTCATATTAGAAGGAAAAATCAGGGAAGGAGCCATGATATAGTATGTATTAATAAAGTATATTATAATGGAAACACCATCAGTTATTTTTGGTAATTTCATGCCCAGATTACCTAAACTTCCACTAAACCAAATAGCTGAAGTACAAAAAGAAAACTAAAGCAAGCTTGAACAACCTCATCCTAAACAGATCAGATTAACTAAAAATTAGTTGTGTGATCTAATTAAGGTTCATCCAAACAGTGAATATAATAGATGCCCCGTCACAGTAAGGTATAAATTCTTGAATTAATAAACTTTATAGTTTACTTCAAAAGGACTCCAGGTGAAGCATCACAAAATAAAACTGACCCTTAGCATTTCAATTGTCAATGAGAACTGAGTTTCGCGAGGGCCCATGTTTCCTTAAAAAGATAAGGTATGTCTCCTTGAGAGCAGATAGCGCAGGAGCATCAAAATATTTAAAATGCTTAAGTCGATCAAGTCGGAAATTACGGTAAGTACTTATCTAAGAAGATAATCACAACTCCAGCCAAATGTCAACTAGACTACAATTTTCCCAAAAATACACGAGTTAAATTTTAACTCCCTAGTCACTAGTGAAATTACTCTGTTGAAAGGGCTAAAAAACGAAACTGTAATGGTGATAAACTAGACCATTTGGAGAGCATAAACTCAGACCGGCTTAAGCTGAGGTGAAGTGAATCTAATCTTTGGAATATGCCTACTGCAGTCGAGGAGCCTCTCCACTCTATTACATAGAGATGGTTGAACAACACTAAGTATCGAAGTAGCATACACTAAAACCAACTCAAAAGGGACACAATCTCATCCATTCAAAGAGTACGGTATATCCTTCAGACAACTAAGCAAGTCCATCCTAAGTAGCATTACATTTACAATCCATTTCAACATAAAATTTACCAATCTTCGGCTGAGCAACCTATATGATGCCATTTTTTTTGTAAAACAAGAACACTAAAACGACACAAAAAAATCACAAGTTCTTGTGGTGTTGTGCATGAATTATAAACTAACTGGAAAAAAAACCACGGGAAAAGATAAAACTGCTCATCAATTACACAAGCGACCCGAAGAACACCTTTAGTTGGATTAGTTGATAGAAAAAAACTATAGCCATCTTACTTAATCTGATTTTCAGCAAGTTCAAGCAGTTCAATTCGACGCAAGCTCCAGTGGAAACAGCTGGTTATATAGTACTGTTTTTTTGACAACCAGTATTGGAATATTTCTAAGAATTACTTTTCAGAAACTAAAAGAAAAAACAAAAGCGCCTAAAAAGTAAAAACTTCCAAAAGCTTCCCTATACATCTTCTCCCCCCACCCCCCCCCCCACCCCACCCCACCCACCCCACAAAAAAAAAAATCACAGACAAATCTTTGTTCTTCCCCTAATTTAAGGTTATTCCTAAACCTCCAACAATGATCATATAACAAAGACCTTTACACATGAATTGAATCCTAAAAATAACAACTTTCCACCATAAAAGGCTAAATTAACTAAAAAGATGCAATTATGGTACATTAATTCCATAATTTACATTAGATTCCAAAAGTAATTCGTCTCAAAAGAGCTCATATAAGAAGATTCACAAGTTATGATCCTACAGGGATACAAAGATTTTTTTTTTAAAAAAAAAACAAGAAATATTTTTGATGAATAAGAAAAAATCAATTGATGAATCAACCAAATCTCAACCCAAACTTAGTTAGAATTCGCTATATGAATTCTCACATGAAATGCCACATGTCACCCGTATTGAGTGCGAGAACTGAAAAGACTAAACATAAATTATTAAAATTCATCAGAATTTTTTAGACCACAGAAAAAATGAGAGAAAACAAAAAGTAGATCACCTGAAAAGCTTCGATTTCAGAGCATGAAGATCGTCGTCTTCATCAAATCGAAATTTGTTTTTTTTCTCTTTCACTTGGTTGTATCTGTAATTGGACCAATAATATATTGGGCTGACGTTTACATGGGCCGAAATTAGAATGGGTTGCAGAAGGGAGATTTGCACAAATAGATCATTTAATGCCACTGTTCAAATTTTGATCCCGTTATTTTTTTTTAAAATGACACCCGACGACAACACATAACAAGAATTAGCAAGTTTTTAACCTTATACTAGGTTTTGGCAAAGGCAGCCCCAAATAATGGGAGAAATTCAAAAATAGCCAGATTTACTACTGGTCGTTAAAAAATAGCCAAGTTTCAAAAGTCATCGAAATTTAGCCACTTTAAATCTGAGCGAAAACACTGTTCAAAATCCGGAAAAATAGCCCGCAAATTTTACGGGGGTTCCAGCATAAGTATGCTTGAACTCCCGTAAATTTTACGGGAGTTCCAGGATAACTATGCTGGAACTCCCGCAAATTTTACGGGAGTTCAAGCATAATTATGCTGGAACTCCCGCAAATTTTACGGGAGTTCCAGCAAGTATAATTCTCCAGTATAATATACTGGAGTTTGGAGCACTGGTGCTCCAGTCTCCCGCAAATTTTACAGGAGTTAGCAAAGTATACCAGTCCAGCATAATATGCTGGAGTTCGTACACAAATGCACCAGAACTCCCGTATATTATACTGGACCAGTCCCTGTTGCAGCAAAATAGTGGCTATTTTTCATTGACTTGATAAACGTTGGCTATTTTTCATTGACCAGTGTGAAAACTGGCTATACTATGATATTTTAACCCAAATAATTGGCATTATATGACCAAATCCTAAAAACCCTATTTTATTATTTATTCTCCTCACCATTTGCTCTCTCCCCCCCC